TGGCTGTACGCTTGGTGAGATGTCGTGTGGCCCTTCTTTGTTTATGTGAAAAGGGATGAAAGTGGTTGAATAAAAGAAAATAACTTGAGAGAGAAGTTCAAACCCTGCCAACATTGATAGCTGTAATTGGGAGAAGAAAGGGTGATTAGAACGTATTTTAAAATGTGACGACTGCCTAATTGGTAGTATGCTGAGGATTTAAGGAATACTTTGATTTTGTAAGATTTTCTCACCTCAATCTCAGAAAAAATTAAAATGAGCATATATCACAAAATATAAAAACTGATTTAAAAAACATATATTCCCATGGCTGCCATGGGTGCATGCCATTCCCTATAAGGCCTGAGGACAGATCTAATATCACATATTATATTAGTGTGAATAGGATGTGTTGTAAGCAGTCCTTAGTGTGCCGTCTGCTCTATTTTAGGGTTTGTAAATAAATAGTCAGAGAAGTCAGCGAGGATTCCCGAAAACGTGAGAAGACTTCAAGCTTTTAAAGAGAGTCTCTGGAAGGAAATTCAATAGTTTTTTTCCTTTTTGTAACACAAATGAATCATAAAACATGTTGTTCAGCCAAAGCACACCGGAGCAGTGAATACACTCAGTCCATTTTTATTCCATTCGCAAGCTTTGTGCTCTGGCCAAAAAGATCACGCGCCGTCTTAGAATTCCAGGAGCATTTGGTTGATTTTATCTCAAAAGCCATCAGATCTGAAGTCTCCTGGAAGCCATGAAACCGCAGACCGACAGATGCACCGGGCGCCTGATTCAGTGCTGATTTCCCACATTTGACACGATGTTGCACGACAACGGCACACACAGAAAAGAGGGAACCAATTCAATATTGAGGAGGAACCAGGACACACACAGACACTAAATCACAACCGGTTGACAAACGGGCGAGAGCACAGCACCTCAGACACTGCTGTCATTTACATGCAAATGAGCACAACGCCACTTGAAAACCTTTACTTTCCCGAAAAACCAAAATAGGTGGAGCAAACTTCCGATCAACCCGACAGAGTATCAAGATGAGATGATGCGAGCAACATGGAGCCAAACGACACGTAATACGACCGGACACAACGAGGAGAAAGAAAAACTAAGGTCTGTCACTACATTGATGATTTCGTCCCTCCACTCCGCTGATGCCGTATTGTCTGCAGGGGGGACTTTGATCAACTACTCACTGCGGCAATCTTTCCATGACAAACTAACATGATGACCTGATAAACTGATGAGAAGCTCAAACAAAACCAGCAAAGTTATAAACAACTCAGGAATACGTGACATCCGCAGGAAATCGGTGCATATTACGGTAAATTACACCGTATAGTTAACAAGTTATCCAGTAAATGTAATGGACTCTGTGAGTCACCAGTGCATCAACAGATGCTGCACACTGCCTACACACACACACACACACACACACACACACACAAATACCCAGGTGTGCATTCACAAAGGATGTACACCGCATTTAGACCCAAAGTACCTGTCATGGGCAAGAGGAACACATCGTCTTCTTGTTTTCTTCTCTCTGCAGAGGTTCATGTGATTGACTTTAGAGTGCAGCGGTGCACGAGAGTGCTGTTTTCCTTGAGTGACATTTGTGTGCGCGTGCTTGTGCGTTGGAGTGTGTGTGTGTGTGTGTGTGTGTGTGTGAATTTGTGTAAGCTCAGCAGTCTACCACTGACTTAACAAAAGGCTGCTGCATATGAATCCGTTCCATCCCCCATCTGTCCGTGTAAGACTCATACATATACATGCGTTTTCTAGGACAGGAAAAGGGATCCTGACAGATGGACGCTAGAAAAGATGAATCCGGATCCATCTTTTAAATCTGAAACAAGTGATTGATCAACAGGTGATTCATTTGCCTCAACTGTTTGGGTTTGAAGGAACGGGTGACTGGCGTCTTTACATCGGTGTGTGGACAGGGGGCCGGGCAATCGTGGGTAGTTTTCATTCAATCACAGTATTTGTTGCAGATACACATGGTAGAGCCGGGCTGCACTTCACTCAAACTACCGCCGCTGGCCAATTAGCACGTACGTTCAGCATCTGAGTGAGAGGAGACCCTTGCCAGCAGACAGCAATGGTCCGTATTTGATATTCGAAAGGGGAAACCTGGGAAAACACACAAGCTACTGTAATATGCATGCAACAAAGCAGCATTTATTCTGTATTTCACAGCACTTTTGCTCACCACTTTGCTTCGTTGCAGTTGGTCATGTTATGAAACGGCAAATTGAAAAAATGCAGACAAGGGCCGACTAGTGCCAACGCCGTTTGACACACTGCAAAAACAAGGGGCGACGACGGCCAAACGAAACGGTCCCTGGTCCCAGATTCACAAATGTGAAGATTTTCAGCTTTTCTTTGTCATAAATGATCAGACAAAACTAATGTTGCTTTCAGCCCTGGGAGATTGTGACGAGAATTTTCACTACATTCTGACATTCTCCAGGACAGAAAAATGACTGAATCAGTAATAAAGGACTGATAAAACTAACAACAGATCGACATTTTTTTCAAAACACTAATTTAACACTTTTCCCATGCTCACCAAAACATGACTCTCACCACTAGAAACAAAACTAGGATCTATTTTTGCGCCTCAATTCAAGCGTCTGAGGCTTCACAGGTTCAGATCTTTGAACCTGGAGAGACTCCTTCCTGTGGTACCGTGCTCTGGCAGGAAAAAAAACACAGCGGGGGAGGTGGTGAAATCAAGTAATTAAAAATAATGATGGCTGATGAAAAAAAAACAGCTCAAACTGCAAAATGTTGGTTTCCTTTTAAATCGTCTCGATTGTCACTGAGCGATGAGCTTGTTGACACATTACTGAGCAGAATGCACATGTGCATTATGTCCAGCAACTGGCAAGAAAACGACCTCACGTTGATGACATGCTGAATAATAGATGCACAATAACACTGAGTTTATTACTCAGTTGTTGACTTTGACAACAGCCCAAAAAAAGCCATCGGTTTCTGCATTACTCAATTTAAATCATTCCCCTGACATGGCTCTTCTGCACAGGGATCACTCCAACAGGCCTTCAGGTCTGTCCTCCACCATCTCTTTGAGGAGGATATTTTTAACGCTCTACACATAATGCCAGTCTTCTGTTCCGTTTAAATAGCGGTGACAGGATTTGATAAGACACAGCCTAGTTAATAACCCTTATCTGACCTACAAGATGAATCCCATCTGCCTCTCCCCTCGCACTGACTCATAATGCTGCTTATTAGTTCCTCTGGAGGGATGAAGGGGACAGGGGGAGATTTTAAAAAGGCGGGGAAAGATCAGGAAATAAACACCAAGAAAAAACAGCAAAACAGAAGAGTGAGAAAAACGCAAGGAACGTATGGAAAAGGCCGACTATTACATAGAATGCGTAATTGTGCTCGCTGACAGTGAACACGGCAGGTGTGAACAGGAAGAATGAAAGCATTTGAAATGGTAATTTTTACGATATTAGGCAGTTGAATTATCCCTTTGTATGTCAGAACTGAAAGCAGTTGAAGAGTTGAGAGAGAGTCGGGGCGCAGCCGAAATGTCAAAAAGATTGGCAGAAGATTGGCATAATAGACATCAATTGATGTTTAGGGACTGAAACAATTCAAAGGTCAAAGGTGCGTCTGTGTATTGTTAATAGTTGTGAAGTGTAAGTCCAAAGGCAGAGGATGCCGGAAAAAAAGGAGACACACACGTGACCCTAACCCGTAGTGAAAATCGACCGGGGAAGTCGAGTGGAAGCAACAAGAAAGGTGGAGATGAGGTGGAGTATGTGGATAGGAGATGAAAGGGAACGACAAAGTGACCCAGGTGGTGATGGTGCGCAGATGCTCTTCCATAGTGACCGGCCGGTCCGATCCAGCGTAAAGATAAATGACACCCTGTCAATATTACAATGCACCATTCCCCCCGCCCCCTCCCTATATGCATCCCTCCATTTCTCCACCCACCACCCGCCTCTCGCTCTTATCTGGACAGCTCATCCATCAACAGGCAGACTCCACCCACCCCCACACGCACAAACACGGGGTCTTTTTAGCCTATTACTTTTGTTGAAACCCAATGAAAATCCTATTGACCGTGTGAGGTGCGTATCCCGTAGGGTGCGTATCCCCCGTTTCAACTGTACTCCCTTTTCCACTGAGTAAATATCAAGGTGTAGTGGCAACAGAGAGAATGTATCACTTATTGTGAGGAAAGTCGTTATTCTTTTACAACATAGTATACGGATACGGATACCTCTCTAAAATGACAGCTGGTGCAGAGTAACACTTCATGTGACAGCTGTATTGATGCATCTTTAGGCTTATACAAACCCTCGGTTGTATATGGAGCATTATTAACGTGTTTTACCTCATTAGGACTCTATAAACTCTTCGGGTTAAACCATAGAGATAAGATTGCTCAGCTTTGCACTCAGAACATGCAACAACGGGGCTCAGGTAGAGATTGCTTCCTTTGTAGAGGGTCACGAGCCTTGAAGGCTGAAGACCACTGGTATACTGCTTGGTGCCTTGTGATTCCTGATGGATGCATCCGTCATTGCTTACATCAACCCCCCCCCCCCCCATTCAAAACAGACGCATCACATTGGGGCCATCAAGTGAGTCAGTCAACCTTTGCATCCCATCACTGCGTGCTGTGATGAGAGATGAGGTGTCATTATTGTGGCCAGCGAACCAATGTAAACAAGCCTCGTAGTTACTGCACAGACACCCAGATGCACGTGTGCGTTTCTAACGGAACCTGTGAGGTCATCAGCGCATCGCTGCGAAGCAAGCGCCAAACAAAACTCAAAAGAAACATGCGCTGCGCTATAAAATGGCTAATAAAAAAACGACCAGCCCGTCAACGCCATGAATATTGATTTGAGATATTTTTCGAAAGAAAATTGTTGCGGTGGTCAGTCTTCAACTAGCGAACACCGTTCACAGCAGTCACCTCGTCCTGTGTAATCAGGAGTAACACTCACCGGACTCCTCTCCAAACGACACTTTCCCCCCTGAGGATTTATGCGCGAGCCAAGAGGAACCAGGACCTCTCCCTTCATCCGACGGCGACGATGACAACAACGACGACAACAACAACAACAACGGCGACCTCAACACAACGGGGCTGCTGATGTTCCTGCTGTGCCGCTTTTTCTTTGTGGCGGTGAACTCGATACTTCCAGGCGGTCGGATGTCCAGTGTCCGTTTACTCAGCTGATCGAGCGCTCATTGGTTGGCTGCTTCCACCACAACACAGAGCTCTGCTGGGACGCTATTGGCTGAGGGCCCGATGGTGCGTTTAGGAGCGCTCGTAAATTCAGCTTCTTATTGTACCAATTTGTGGAGCCTTACCGTAATATTACTATTAATTGTAATTGCCTATAATAACTATTGCAAGAGCTTCCATTTGTATTTCTGAGGGTGATTGTTGACATAGAAAGAGACTTCCACTGGTTTAAAACAATTTATTTAGCAAAGAGTTTATCTATTTGTAGTAAGCTAAACATCTAATGACATAACTCATTTTAAAACTTTAAAACTAAAACTTTGATGATCTCTGTCCGTCAGTGTTTGAACTTCAACGAAATCCTCAGCCCCTCTGAGCACTTTTATTTCAGCTGACAGTTACACTTAAATGGACACCATTTTTAGTGCCCACATTGAAACTTAAACTTCCCCCAAAGCTTTGATTTCGAGGGTTTCCATTTAAAAAAATCAATTAAGTGTATTTATTTTGTTATATTTCCATTTAGCTGTTTTTTTTATTTTCCTCTCCCCACATTAATTGATAATAGAAATCCATTCCTTTATTGGCCTACAATGAAAATGACCATAAAGACATAGGGGGGGTTTGAATGATGAGAAACCTGTATATTCAGCTAATTGGACTTGTGAAAAAGACCGATGCACTCAGGAGCTACTTGGCTCCCCCTCGTGGTGATAGTAGGAAAACACAAAGAGGCTGTGGACTTCAGTCCCGCTTAGTAACAGCGTGTTTTCATTCAATAAGTACCCAAACAGTCATAGAAAACTGTCATATTCACTTCTAGGGTCTACAAACCGCCACTACAGACATAAAGAAATACATGGTTTTAGTTGGAAGTGGATTTTTATTTACTTTTATGTTTAAAAACAACCAAAAAACATTAACAAGTGAGCTGGCATAAAACAATCTTCCAAGTCAATCTTCATTCAACCCTGTTCGAGTCTGCATCCTGTCCAAGCATACAGGAGAAAGAATGTGAATTGCATACTTACACTGAAAGGAAAATTACAAAATAATGGGAAATATCTGTCAACTGTTCCAGTTGTCCTGTTTTTTTCACATTTTGGTAACATAACCTATAGTATTACTGCAATGGAGCCAAACACATTAAAGCAATGAGTGTTTTACAGGAAAACATGTACATAACAATAGGTCAGCAGTTGTTTCGAGCAGCGACAGCAATTCTGGGCTGGCAACATGTCAATAGAGACTTCAAATCAACCATTACATTACCCCTGAAATGATACTGTAGGGGGGGCATTTAAGAACATCAGTTTTCTGCAGTTAATGAAATAAAATACCTTTTTTAAACATGAAAACTGTGCAAAACTAATGAGTGGGCACAGAGACGGGGGGGGATGGTGGGCTTTGTCGCAGATTAGCTTTAAGCTTTGTCCTGTTAAAAAGGATGCTTTGATTTTAAACAATACCCATAAGTGACTTGATAAGGTGCTTGCATACAATTTGAAACTAACGCATATGCCAAAATTACCAAAAGGTGATTATTTATGAAAGCTATAGGAACTTTATTGTTAAAAAAGGGGGACAATTCACAGTAACAAATTAGTTTGGCATTTCTGTTTTCAACGGTCCTAACTCTGCACGGTATAGTAGAGATGATTCCAGTTGTTACACTTTCACATTAAAATACCTCCATCGTGTTATTCAAAACATTTTGCTATGAGAGTTATGAACAATGTAAACATTACCAATGATAGAAACGTTCAAACTTTGCAAAATGAAAAAGAAAACAAGACTGGACCACTAAAATGACTAACCAACACACAAATGCCTACATTGAAGGATTTCTCTCTCGCAACATTTGTTAACTTTAGTCTCAACACAAATGTTTGCTTGACAGCGACATACGAATATGAAGTTTATACACAGTTTATACTGTCAGAAACCCAGTCAAGCAATAACAACATACATGTCAACAGTTAAACAATGTTAAATTGCACAAACAAATAACGGCATGATCATGAATGGGCCTAAGAAAAAAAAAACAAACGATATGCATATACAGTATCTATATTATATACACACACTTGGACATCCTTCACAACTAATGAGAACTCTAAACTGTACAATATATCTGCTATAAGAACAATTGCGCAAAATACCATTTTGATATACAGGAATACATTTTTTCTTTTACAATGTACAAGTTCAAACTGTCCACACACAAGAAAATGCAAAGCACAAGCCCTAAAAGGCCACAAAAGTGCATGTTATCAGATCAGTTGGGAGCCACTGGAGGGAAGGGCCGGCATGCGATCGGGAATAAAAAGCTGCCAGTAACGTACAGGAGCTTTTCTACACTCCCGACCGCAGTGTCTTGTAAGATTAATAGTTAGTGGAGGGAAGTCTGGAGGCGATGCTAATTATACATGCAGGCACACATGACCGCAGATGAACAGACACATTCTTAAAACATGTTTGTGACACACACACACACACACACACACACACACACACACGCGCACACACACACACGCGCACACGATTTGATGATGAAAATCCATCAACATTTCCTACTAGAACTTTTTACCGCACCGTCACATTATATTCAAGTAGTGGCACTCCAATAGTAGAGAATTAGGTGTTGGTACCTTTTTTTTTTTTTGAACAATCACACATCTCAAAAAATGACACGCTGGCCTCGTGTTTACAACACAAGGTTTTAAAGTCCTGAGCGGTGACTGGGTGCGGGCAGAAGAAGGCCTTGTGTGCCGACCGTATTTCAGTTTTAACAAAGAGAAACTGTCGACAGAGAAGGCAAACTTCCCCCCGAACCGTGTCACCGTCCAGGCACCGACTTACAGGCGAGTAGATCGTCAAATTGAGTTGGCTCCAAGCATTCCCCTTTCCAAATATTATCTCTATACAAGATGGAAAAATTCAGTTTCTCACCCTCGACTCGAAAAGGAAAGACGCAAACTATTAACCTTGTTAAGGCCACTGAAATGTGCTTCAAATGTATTCCTTTAGGCTGCCCTTGGTTTAACAGATGCCAAGATGTTCCCGTCTCTTTCCTGTCGCTGCCTCTTTTCTCATCCTACCCACGTTACATCTTCTCTGAACTGCAGTGACCTCTATCTGTTCCAGCAATCCGATTAAGGGAACTTAAAGTGATGACGCTGGATATAGTAACAAAAGGCTTTTCACGCCTCCCATTTCCTCACCTCTTGTCAATTTTTCCTAGTATTACTCGAGTATTTTCGGTTTTCCTTTGGTCTTCATTTTGACATTTAGTCCACGCGGCCCCTCGCCAGAGGGCTGTCTCCTCGGCCGTTTGCCGAGCGTCTCCCTCGCTCAACGGAGAGAGGAGACGCAGCAGGCAGGCTAACGGCCCAGCATGTAGACCACCACTTCGTAGGTGCACATCATGATGGCAGTGTTGGGAATCTGTCTGACGAGGTGGGTGGTCAGGCCTCGGTACAGGGCCCGGTATCCCTCCTCCTTGGGTACCGTCAGCAGCGTTTGGAAGAACGAGCGGTATTTGCTGCCTTCCTCTCGAAGCCGCGTGCGGATCACCTCTGCAATGTGACAGGAGGAGAAAAAGTAAATTGGGTTAATACACCACTGTCTACGAGTGTTTCAGTCATCTGAAGAGCTGCTGTGGGCCGAACGTGGGTGGACAAAGTGATTTAATGGGGCCGTGATATTTTCCTATCGGAGACAGCGAGACATCGTCCCACTGAAAATGTAAAATGGTTCATGCCGTCTCTCAGTTAAACTACCGTTATATCGGTTTATCCTCAAGTCCGTCTACAAAATAACCCCTAAAAATGATTTTTGCACCGATTAATGAGCTTTAAACCGGTGCAGCAAATCCGCTCTGCCCAGCTTTACCGTGAGGATAGGCGATGGAGGTTGCACACGTCTTGGAGGTGGCCGCCGCCAGCATCATGCCCACAAAGTCTGACGCATCTTTGACGGATTCCTCCTCTTCGTCCATGCTGGCGTGGGCCTTCGATTCCACCAGCTTGCGTTTGATGCTCTCGTAGATGACAAAGTGGATGACGGTCTCGGAGATGCCGGCGTACGAGGCCGACATGCCCCGGTAGAAACCTCGCAGGCCGTCCATCTGGTACACCCGCCGCACGCAATCAAATGCGTTCATGCGCCGCTGACCCCGCGTTCTGTGATCAAGCACGAGACTTTAGAGCCGAGGCCAGTAACAACGGGATGACATTTAGTGGCAGTAATGAAGACGCTCCTCACCTGGTTTCCAGCTGCAGACGGGTCTTGATCAGCCAGATTGGATTGGTGGCCGTGATGGCGGTGAAGCCTGGGAATTTCAGAAAGGGACAGAGGTTCAGACAAACGGAGAAACATCCGGAAGAACACAGATATGTTTAAATGTCCTAAATATTCTATACTGAACAAGGACAATGAGAAAGCACTTCACGAAACAGGATCAACTCGCTGCAGTTGTTTTACTTTACTGTGAGACATTTTAATACGGGCATTGGCACAGATTATTTGAAACAAGGTCTGAATTAATTCAATCTTTTTTTTTTTTTTAAATCATTCATTCAGTTTCGGACAAAAAAACAGAACTTTTCAGTTTCACATATTGATCCTCTTCATGTGAATGCAGCACAGGTGTATGTAAACAACAGCGCTCACTCTGCAGTAAATGTTCTGAACTAACACCAGCACACGAGGGGAGCATTTGGGACTCTTTTTTTCCTGTCATCATAAAAAATAAATGAATGATCTAACTGAAGACATTTGGAGAATTGTGATTATATTGCAATCTGATTATTGTTTTTAAATGTTAGTTAAGTGTTTTTAATGACAATAATGTGTTAAGACAAAAGCTCATCTTACTTAGTTCATAGGGGCGGCCTGTTTTAAATTATTGTAACAATCCATAAAAGCGTTGACAGTTTTTTCCAGAAAGTAACACAACGTAGATTTCAAAGTATTGACACAGATATTAATTTTCTCTCATTGTTGTATATGAGCAGTATACATCTGCTCCAATCGTTAGTCAGTGAATGAACATTTTTATGTTTATTTTGGGACATTCTTATTCATTCATTGGGACTGGTTACACACTACGGATCAGTCGGCCTGAAGACAAAGAAAAGGAGGTCTGGAAAATATTATTCAATTATTCAGAAGGACTAAAGTCAGGGGTCACCGACATGAATTCTAGTTCTAACTATACTTCCTAAAGGTGGTGGGCAACCTTATTCTACTTGTTCCTCTGCCTTTACAGCCAAAATTAATCAATTAACTTGCATAACAGGTTATATTTCAAGTAAAAGTTAAATTGTAATCATTACGAAATGACACAAAGTATTTTTCCGACAGAAATGATGCAATAGAGAGATAAAAACATGGCCATTTGCCATGAGATAGAACAGATAAGACGAGGGCGAGTCTAGAAAGACCCCTCAGTCACATCTATTGTATCAGTGCAACACGGCCCTGGCTTAAGGCAGCGCGTGAAGAAGAAGAAGAGAGGAAGACACAGGTCTGTCGAAGAGGAGAAGAGAAGAACAAAAAGGAGGAAGAAGAGGGAAGTAGAAGGAAGTAGCGTCTATGGCGTGTACTCACGAGGGAGGGGCAAAGCTCCTCCAGCTCCTCCCCGCTGCAGCTAGTAGCCTGCAGATATGGGGGGCACAGATGGCGGGGGTCTCCCACCCAATCACGCAGGGGTGAAAGCTTTACAGTAAAGCCCTAAAATAGACACAGGCCTTTCTGTACCACAGTCACACACAAGCAGCAGTCACAACCACCCCTGAAACCCCCACTGGTGCAGGTAGTTGGAGAAGAGATGGGAGGTTGAAGGACTGACCTCCTCCTCCCTCATCTTTCCCCAAACACCATCCCCTTAAATGACTCTTCTACGTTAAAATCGTTTACAATTCTTTTACTTTACAATGAATGCCTCCCTTTACTCCTTTTAAAAAAATCGACTGGAATAAAAAAAATACGTTGACTGAACAGAAGCCAAACCGATCCAAAGCTCCAGCTCCGTCTCTCCGGAGCGAGGTAACACACAAGCACAAATACAGAGGCAGGAGATTTAAAAAGAAACGGATGTTCTTCACAATCCTTGTGTCTGTTTGTAATCTACATGTTGGAGGAATAATGTAATCAAATGCTTATGAAATAAAGAGCATGTGGAAATGCTAACCTTGTCAGTGTGTAGCACAGACTAAGCGTTGGACAATGGAGATGAATCCACTTGATGATTCTTTTTTTTAATATGATGACGTACATATGAACTGACTGATCATAGTAAAGTGAGTCAAAGAGGTGGAACAACTCCACATGCACCATAAATCTCTTTAGGCCAAACCTCATTCTGGAATAACTAGGATCAATTTAAAAATACCATTAAGGTGTCCTTGAATTTTGAGAAAATGACGTCTCCAGAGAGCCAGCCTGCTTCTACAAAACGCATCAAAAAAAGAGTCGGCCTCAAATTGACACAAAAGGACTGGGGGGGCCGCAGGGGAGCGGGTGTCCATATATACACGCCCGTGTCCATACATGCACGCACATGTGTGTGCGCTTCTGTGGACGCGATCGCCGGCACGCTGCTCCCCCTGTGATTGATGCGTTAAATGTAGAGAATCATTTCCCCACGCGGATCAATAAACAAAACTTTCTTCTTCCTCTTCTTCTCGACCTGGAGCAGAGCCCCCGTGAGGAGCTGCGTGTGGGTGCTGCTGCTGCATGCAACCATTCTATAAACATCGCTGCCATGCGGCTTCGCCAGAGGCCTTGGACCAACATTCAGGAGAATATGTTTTTGATTATCTGCTAGAACAGATATTAAGGTCTATGTGAGGAAGTGAAAGCAGCCTCCTGCCAGCAGCTCTGAGGAGGGATTCCACAATACTGGCATGAAGAAGGTCCATCCCAGTGCGGGACTTTAGACGGCATTGTAAGATTACGGGAGCAAAAGTGGCGAGTAACCAAACAGCAGTGTGGAGTGTTTGTGCGCGTCCCTTCCACACAGACCACGGTCCACCACAACAGTCCCACCTGGAAAAAGTTGTGTAAAAGGAGCGAGTGACTCCATTAAGTTAGTAGCATTACGTCATTGTGAGCTGTTCAGTCACTTTAACTCTGCTACTATCCAGTGCTAAACTATTGGATGTGGATTATGTGCAATTGAAAGACACAAGAAGTGTATCAATGCAGTAATAGTGTTAAATCTCACTATTCTCTTAAGCCAGACTCCATTACATGTTTGCACCACCTCTGGCCGAGACAGAAATACTGATTCTCCTCGGAAAGAGACGACTGAGGGACTGATGATGGGTTGATGGGTGATGATAAAAGACAAACATGGAGAACAGACATTACAACCTTCTGTAGCTGTGACAAGGTTAGCATTTCATTTGTGCTGACTGCATGAAATCCAAAGAAGTGTTTAGTACTTTAACTTTAGTATGTTGATGCAACAAGTCGAGAGGCACTAAGGGAGAGCTGTGTGTCGAGACTAAGCAATAGTAAAACGTTAGAACAAGAGCCTAAAACTACAAACCAGCAGCAAACCCATTGCCATAAGCAATGGTAATATCATTACAAATGAATAACCATTATGAACTTTTGAGTATTCATAAAAAAATCACCATGGTTTTCATCATACCAGTGTAAAGAAATGGGATGCTACCTGACGTGTCCGCCCGAGTGCCAGGGGCCCCGGTTGACCTTTGGGGGCCGTGCTCTCTCCTCTATACACACAGAGCAAAGACGGGGGCCCAGACCACTCTGTTTAAGTAACAACCGGGATGTTAAACCATTTACAGAGTCCTCTGGAGAGGCCTCGAAATGAAAGAAGAGGAAAGGGGGGTGGGGGTGAGGAGGAGGGGAGGAGAAAATAAAAATAATGGAGGGGGAAATGGGGCTGGGAGAAGAGGAAAGCACAACCTAGACTTTGAGGACCATGTGGTTTTATGAATTATGAACACCTCTGAGTACCTTAAATAAAGTCTTGCGACTGATGATTTTAGGTTTTGTCTCCTGAGATGTATGTGGGCCGGTAGATGCTGTGCTACCTGGATGGATCGGTGTGTTTACAGGAGGGACACAGATGATGTGCTTCGTCACCAGCGTGGATCCAAGCTGCTGGGGGACGAGTACATCATTTGTGAATTCTCCTCACAGCAGACTAAGTGCGTCCGTTTCCGCCAGGATGGAGTTCAAGGTCATTTTTGATCCCGAGAGTCTTAAGTTGTGCTTTCTGATAAGCCCCCCCGATTAAATGTATTTAATATTTCTATACAGCTACATAATGCCTACTTATAACAGACATCATTTGTTAGCTTTAGCATGCTTTAGGTATGCACATTCTTTTAAATTAATAAAAATCCCACCATCCCAAACACATGTATATGGAGAGGGAGGAGGGGGGGGTTGGGGTGGGGGGGTGAAATGAAACTCTGGGATACTTCAAATTGTGACAACGATGAAGGTATCATGTCAAATGAGATCTGTCAATATGACAACCTGAATCATTCGTAAACACGTTTTTTTTTTTTTTCCATCCGTGGTTAACACTGCACACGCAGACTGACACTCAGCGACAGACAGCGACGAACAAACGAACAAGGGAGGGGAGAAGGAGCCATCATTACCTGCGAGCCCAGCCGACACCATGTGCACCTGGGTAGAGTCCGGCTCCAGCACCCCGTTCAGCTTCTCCTTGGCCGACGAATAGGCCGCAAAGTAGATCGCCCTGTTGCAAAATGATCATGAAGAACAAAAATAAGCTTGGCACTAAACACCGGCTCTGTGTGTGTGTGTGTGTGTGTGTCTTAGCGCACATCTTAATCTTATAACGTGCTTTAGTAGCAGATTCAGCTTCTCTTCACTAAATAAAACAACAGAATTTAGTCAACATTTCTGCCGAGTGGAATCAAACCCGACGACCTTCCCTCATAATCATGCTGCTCTGCAGATGAGAGGTGGATTATGGGAGTTGGTCTGAATGTGCACGGGCATCTTTTATACTTAATGAGTGATGTTGCTGGTGCAAGCTGTGCTCTGTGTGTGTGTGTGTGTAAGTGTGTGTTGCTAATGAATGCCAGCAGAAAGCCCAGTGGACTGCACCCTCATTAGAGTCAGAACACTGTATCTTAGTTTTCCAGCGTCAGAGTGACGTTTCCTAATTATAACCGGAGAGAATAACTCTGTAACCCAGCAACCGCGACCGTCTCCTTGTAGATAAACTATTCTGTTATTTCAATCCATTTAAAACTTTACTTTGATCAGACTGCAATCAAATGAAGTGGATATTTTACATGCAACGTTGTCAAAGCATCAGTTAATTTGGAATCGCTTTGAACCGCAGAGATTTTGATAGCAGCGTTAATTAAAAAAAAAAAAAAAAAAGTATACCCAGTATACCCAAAGTATTTTGGGTATACCATGTGATATGTGTATCTTTTTAAAAGAATCTTTTCTATTTTACTGACATCAGCTAAAGACGGAACTGACAGATTTGGTTGCTCTGAAGGATCATGTTCATGTCATGTTTTTAAAAGTGTAATTAATAAAATGTTTCCCTTATTTTCCATCTGATGTGGAAGTAGAGCCATACAAACAATGCCTTGAAATACAGTGAGAAAAACAATGACATACTTTTTATCCAGTACATTTGATAGAATACTGTATCTTTAAAACCATTTAACTGCCTGCTCTACAATTTGGTAAGAGCACATTTTAAGTGAAAAAATGTATATACCTTAAGTTAACCCGAGCCATCTGAACCACTTGGCCTAGCCATGTTATTGTAAAGAAATCCACTAGATGTCACTGTGTCTTTAGGCAATGTGCCTTCTTAACTTGAACCTCTTCACTGCACGTTATCGAGACAAATTCACGAGACATCTGAATCATTTTTGTAGAAAATTTCAACGAGAAGCCAATTTATTCAGCATATTACAGCAACTGTAAATTAATGTTTTATGAAACAGACATATCTAAGTATTCATTGTTGTACATAACATACTTGTACCGTCAAATATATTATAAAAATATGATTATATATAATATATTATTATAAAATTATTTCATAAGGAGGATTCTTTTCTCTAAGAAAAAGAACGGTTGATATGTGCTTTTATGGTAAGAGTAGTGATTATAGGATAATAAAAGTACTATTTTTATATTCATTTCTGTTGATATATTTTATAACATTTTATGATCTTTGTACATGTTACATGAATGTTTTGCATTAAATTGTTCCCCTAATTGTTTGAATGAAAAGTAGATGGCATATCACCAAAAATCCAGAACCGTGAAGATTTTCTAACATTGTGTGCTGCTATTACTTCATTAATCTAGCATTTCATTTCCCTGAATTTTAATGACCGTTGGGTCAGTGTCTGATGTTGTCATTAATACCCCAGAGAACAGTTTCCATTACTATCCCATGGGACTGAACCACACACACACACACACACACACACACACACACACACACACACACACACACACACACACACACACACACACACACACACACACTCAGACCCAGAAGGGGCCGAAGTGTGTGACAGCCGAAGTACGACAGCGACGGTGCAAAAATCGAATTTTAGGCAAAGAATGACAAATATGCTGAAAGAGGGCGGCCACAGGGAACAAGAAAGGATGACTCAGAAAGAGGCCACAACGAACCAACAGGAAGAGCACAACAATGGCCATGTGACACAGCAGTAGCTAGGGAGAACCGGACGGGTCAGGGAGGGGCGGTTAGACACAAACACAACTACCGATGCAGGAGCTCCATTGTGATATTTCACAACAACATCAGCAGTCACATGACGAACTGGCACAGCTGGCCGGACCCTGCGGTTGCACATGTTCCATTCAGGTTTTGATTGACTTGAGTAAAGGCTGTTACGCAACTATAAGCAGGAACCTACTTATTTCCTGTGGGATTTTAAGCAGATTTAAATCTTAATTCACCGCATTTATGGCCTGCTATTAATGCTGCCAATGAGCTGGAAAATTAAAAAAAAATAAAAGAACTATGGCTGACGCAAAAGCATTCCTCAACACAAAGACGTGCTCAGGTTGTAAAATGTTAAATAAATGACGCATGAATTCTTCTACTCTCTGATAACAGGTCCAGCTAGTGCAGATAAGTGCAGGATTCGCAAGGTTTTACCATGAACAGATTGTGGTGACCTACTCTACCGTGTGACTATGTGATATCAGCTATTTTATTTTGCTTTTGTATATATTCTCTACATTGTAGTGCTGTTGCCATCCAGGGCAACTGAATTCTACTTACTCTGCAATCAAATCGATTGGCCAACGACGGCAAAATAATTAGAAGTACCCTACCTGGATAGCAATAAATTATAAACAACTAAATAATAAATTAAGAAGCGCTTTTATTCTTTTCCATATTGAGCCTACGCAAGCTAAGTTTTTCTGTATTTTCTCAAGGTAGTCAGCATGCAGGAGGAGGCTTGGAATACTGAATACTGACAATACTGAACATACCTGGAAGGTGCCACACCCACAAGATTGGGTCCCAGTCCCCTGAAGAGAGAACGAGGACCCTCTCTCTCTAGAATTAACCTGCAGAGAGAGATGTTGTCTTGGTTATTCCATTGTAATGCAGAGCAAATACAGTACATTTAACATCCATGCAATACGTTTTATAAACATCGGTGTGACGTGGGAGAAATCATCGGGTGACCGACTGGAGAAAAACAGCACAGTTCAAAATTCACATCCACCACAAATTTACGCCGTAACCTTTGAACCGAAATATGGGAATGCCTTAATTTGAAGGAGAGTTAACTCACGTCTTTACGCTACCAGCATCTGAGTAGTGTCGTGCGGTGACAAGCTTGTATCGATCTTCTCATAGAACGCTCAAGATGGAAACTAATTCAATTCAAATTAATTACAAAAGAGCGAACACTTCACTTAAGTGTTTCTAGGGCACCACGAGACACAGTGGGAACCTCCCTGAGCAGACGGAGCAGTAAACTGTAACACGTTGGGCAGACCTGACACGCAATACAGTGTAGTATACAATGGGCCACTGTCATCATACAGGGAGACACCAAATGAAAGGAGTGTCATGTGACTCCGTTATCACCCGAGTTCAAAGAAAGTGTCCTGGTCTCCACCATAAACTAGAAACCTCACCTCGGAACGTCCGCGGCTTATGGTCGACCTTTATTCTTCGCACGTTTTCAGATAAACTGTGACGCAAAGTACGTTCAGAGGAGAAGACGTCCTCAAGAGAAGGAGATCTCTAGGCCGGGTAGTAATCTCCTCCTCTCGGCTGGATTTTATTTTCTAGACTTGAGCCGTCGCCTCATCTCGGTGTACAGTAAAGAGTTTCATCTGGTTGCTTTGTGGGCTGCGCCTTCAAAGCCCGGATGTGTTCATGCCTAAATACTACAACTCAAAAATGAATTATATATTACAGAACTTTCTCCAGAGTAATTGCCCAACACTACTCAACAAACAGCTCAGTGTTTCTTCCACAGTCAAAAAACTTAAACCATGAGCCAACAGTCTCGGCTTTCACCCGACTCCATGTTGACACACTTTATTTTCCTTTTCCTTGCTGTGCTGCTTTTCCCTCTTCTACCCGGCTCCACTCTGTTCTGTGTAGCGGCCGTGTACGGTTTCCGCTGGTGGCAGCTCATCGAAAAGAATAACATGAGGAGTTGGTTCGTGTCGACAAAAGACCGAACTTTGGAGCCAATGACTTTGTTTCGATTAACGTAAAACCGAGAAAGGGGTCAGTACTGTTATTGAAGGGAGCTTTGCTCACAGCAGGCAGGTAACCATTTTGGGTTAGTAAACGCAGTTCAATAGAAATAAGGATTTCTATTGAACTGTACAAGCGCCAGATCAGCATTTTTCCTGTATTTGGAGTGTTTAAATGTGTTTTGATGTGGAGAGACTTTAAAATGAAATAAATACACAAAAGAAGAGCTGTTGGATTATTTAAATACATTAGTTTATGTGTATTATTGCCATGATGTCAATATTGAATTTACCCCAGTTATCATGTATACCGGTTTATTGCAACACCCCTAATCCCTTGTTCAAACAAAAAAAAAAAGAAAAGAAAATGCAATCATTCGACAGTGGAAAATTACACACACACACACAGCTGCCTGTGCAGTTTGCAATAGCTTTAACAGTGGATGACCTGACGTGTGACAGTCATGGAAATACACTGTCAGAGAACAAGAGTCGAGCACTTGAGCTGTTGAGCATTTTGTTTAACATGTTAATTTAATCAGTGGCCCACGTACGGCAGAGTCTAAACCTATGCTGGATTCCTCTACACTCTCAATTCCCACCTGTCATCCAACTGTCCAACTGTCATTATCTAACGAAAAGAGCGAGGACATTTCACGTGGCAAAAAGGGGAACAATTTTCTTAAATTGAGTTTGCAGTAGTTGTTTAGAGAAAAAAAAAACCCTAAGAGCTCTAAAGCTCTACGGTAAAAAACAAGAGTTTTTTTACGATTTGTTCTGTACTTTTTATCTGTTGCATCGCTCAAGTATTTTGGTTGTGAATTCTGCTGATGTCTCGCTCCCGTAGATAATATTGAAGACTAATACCCATTGCATGTTTAGAGCTAAATGCATCATCCAGAGTACGAGAAGCTCTCGTGGTTGCAGCAGATCACACTTTCTGCAGAAAGACCTGGCGGAAATTTGACCCGGTCTAGTGGTTACTGTGGATTTACTTTAGAGTAGCGTAGACATCCAATGGACAATCCCATAATTGTGTCTTTGCACATTTATTGAGTGAGTAATACAACCATTCTTTAGGGTGGTAGGTTTTACTTATTCAAGCCTGCTTTTGCATCAATTTGGGCGTCAGATTCGGATCTATTTGCATCTTGCCATGGGACTGTTTTCAGGCTGCCTTAATTATACTTTACTAATAAGGTGACCCTAACCTCCAATTGTACACAAAATCCTTTTGAGAAACAGTCACTAGTTTTATGTTCACTGTTCAATTCACACTGATGATTTTCCGATAATTCAGAGAAATCACTCGGCTAGGACTAAAACATTCTCACAATATATTATAAGACATTCGGAATATTACAAATATGATATAATATATATATATATAATTTATATATATATATATATAATATATATTGAAAATGAAATATACACTGTCACATAACATCTGAAAATCAGCTATGATAAGTATTCCACCCCCATAACCTGTAGGCAACACAAACTAACTTTTGCACAGTTCCTTTTATAAAAGTTAGTGCAATTAACATTTTGCGCAATGCTACTCACTTGAGGCAGTGCAGAGGCCCGGGTGGAGCAACGCGGGACACACTGGTGCCATTAACGGTGCTGAGATGGACTTCAGAGATGTAGAGAGTGATGGAGGAGGACTGGAGTCTGGTCTTCACAACCTCTAGAGGACATGTCAAAATTGCGCCCACTGTGCCCCCACATCTAGAAGGGAGAAATTAAGGGTGGGGAAGGGGGGGGTTAAACAAATAGCCGAGTGGTTGGGGCTCTTTTTCTCTCTGCCAGTTATTTTTATTTTCATTTTTTAAACCGTCCCCCTTTCAGTCACTGGTTACAGGTTAGCACTAAAATCATCTGGAGCTGATGATGATCACACACACCATGACCTGATGTTATGATATGAAAGATATTGCGACATGCAAGCTGCCAGCTAAGAGCGTATGATGCTGTGCATTGAAAATTGACCACGGGTCAGTGTAACTTTGATGATGACTTTTGCCATCTGCGAAGGCAGAAATGAGTTGTCATGAATGTTGGGCAGTTGGACAGCGGGCTCGCTTACCTTATGCACACATACAAATTGTCAATAACAACAGATAAAAACTGAATCCATCAGCATACAAAACAAAATGAAGTTAATTTCAAGCAATCGTATTCTCATTAAATACATGAAATGATGATCACTTTCATTTACATGCATGGTTTAATTAAGCACTGTATGTTTATCAGCCAAAGGCTACCAGACACCTCAAAATACGTTTCTGCCTCCTACCAGATGTGTACGTTCGTTAATTACCTGTGCTTTTACCAAAGGCTTGGTGCTTTCACAATAGGACTCAGACCAAGCGTCGCAACCACTAACATAGAAAGTGCTACAACCACAGAGACAAACAATATGATACAATACAGATTTAGCTGACATCTTGACTGTTGGCAGGGAATTCCTCTAACTTGCCGTCTCTTCTGGGCAGCACCAGCTATATTTACCTTTCAAAAGACGCACCGACATTCATGCTTACAGGCAGCTGTGACCCTTGGCCTACTTTGAGAGCTACGCTGTGTGTGCGCGTGTGTGTGTGTCACAGTGGTTGTGAGAGGGAGCGCTGAGCTGAGGCTCCAGCTTGGGTTTGGAGGAAGAAAAAAAAAATGTATTTTGCTTATTCAAGACAGAAGTATGTGTCAGATCTTAAGAGAGATAGGAGAGGAGCTGTGGTGTGATGGGATCGCCGTATTTGAATGTCCCTAGTTCGGGGCGGACAGGAAGGCAGCGGTGAAAAACAAGGTGAAACTGGAGACAAGGGATTAAACTAAGAGAGAAAACAAACGTCTAACATTTGTGTCATCTGTGTTGTCATTTCCTTTGACGAAGATGTTGAGTCTGGCTACAGAACAATACTTCCACTTTAGACAGTTACACAATATAGAGAACCATCTTTCAATGATCATTTATAGGAACAAATATTACCATGTGAATGTTTGGAAGGATAATGCTCATCTGCTATGACTGGGTGTCCTTCACTTCAGTGAAGTGTCAGAGCCCCTCCACACAAAACTAACAACTAGTGAATGTTGAGCATTGTGATGTCAACAGACTATTAATATGCCTAAATAAAGAGACAACATGTGCCGATACTAAAATCACTCACAGACATAATGGCCATTTTATGTTATGCATCTAAATAATCTCCCAGGTTGTTATAATGTAAAATGAGAAGCAATGTGTGTGGCTGCTGCAGAAATTAAATCAAGCTATTGAGAAAGAGCAGGAACGCACCCGGAAATAAACGGAGGTGCCTTTAAAATAAAAGCGTGAATCTCTTTAGTTGAATAGAAGAAATCTTTGCATTTATAGAAGATGATTATTTTACACACTCAGTGAAATTACCCGAGCCACAACTACAAACACCGGACATGTGACACGTTTGTGTTTTAATAGAGAACTGTTCAAATGGTCATATTTTGAAATGTTGACCGGAAGCATAGTTTGCACCCGCGGGGTTTGACACTGGCGTGCACACAGCTGACACGCGCACGCGACAAAAAAATGTCCCTCGTTAGCTAGCTTAACCTGGCTAGACTGCCCAGATGATGAGTCGCGTTAAAAGTCCCGGGACTGTTGATTTTAAAATTGACCCCGATATGTTACATCGTAATTGGCATTCCGACTCACCCTCCAGCGAACAAATGAACCAGCGTGTCCCTTTGGCTCATTATTTAGCGCGCCCCGCCGAGCAGCGCGCCTCGGGGCTGCGGCAGAGGGTCGAACACGGGCTCGGGTCCGTCCCTTCCCGTTGCTTTCTGCCTCCGAGAGGATGCGCACGTCGATGGGCGAACGTCGTCGTCGTCGTCGACGCGGGGCGAGTCAGCGGTGATTCAGACTGCAGTGGGCCGATAAACCCCCCCCCCTCCGACCCTCCTCCTCTCTCCGTCCCCCCTTCGGTCGCTCTCCGCTCGTTACCCTTTAACCCAGAAAGCGTCTCATCTGCGAGCTCACCAGGCGAACTACTGGCGGAATATTCCTACCTCGGCTCTAACAAACGGTTTTATGGCACATCCGCGCGTTTGACTCGGATTCCTCCTCTGCTTTCATCGCTGCACCGAGAGTGAAGAGGGCTGAGCTCATAGTATTTACTGTACAATCATAGGCTGGGAAACAGACGCTGCTATTGGTCGGCATGGTGCGTGACGTCACGCCCTCACCGCCCCGACCATGCACTGTCCACATGCTCAGCGTTGACCTAATCAGGGCCGCATAATCTCGGAGACCTTTCTCTCAATGCTCAGGAGAACCATATTTAGGTTTGTCGAAGTTTTTGTCAAGCAGGAAACGTGCATTTTGTTGCTCATTGAGGTAAAGAATTATTGGACAAACGATTTGAGCTAAAATCAGACTACTAGTCTACACAAACATAAAAAAATGTGTTCATGAACAAATAACCTTGCAAACAGTAAAAACAATTGAATCAATAGCTATCCTTACAATGTTTATTGAGTAATTGTCTGTAATCTTGTCATGACCCTGCTGCGTAATGGGTGTTGGCGAGTTTTCCATCAATGTAAGGAGAAAATTAATTGAATTCCCTGGTTTATCTGCTTATTTAATCTATAAAGGGGTTTTCAATTAAATTTGTCTATAATTGTCCAAACCATTATAAATTGCATACATAGATTGACAAGACTGCCTGAACCCAATCACCCATCATGGATCTGAGGCCATATAAGCTGAGGATGCTCAACTTCACATCCTTAAATACTTTAAAACTAGAAATAACTCTTTTATCTCAAATCCAGTCAAATGAGAGCCTAGCGTTTAGCTCCCTTGAAAATATTTGAAATAGTGAAATGTTCTTCTCCGCAATGACAAGGTCTTCATGGGAAGAAAAAAAAGTAATCACAAAGCTGCAACCCAATCAGCTGACTGTACTCAATATAGCTAGTTGGTGATTCAATAACGGAGCTGAGCGAGTACACGCCGTCTTGTAATTGGAAGCACTGTCTGACAAGTTGACCGGTCATGTGCACGGTTTCACTCTTCACATTTGTAGAGACAAAACCATAAATGTTGTGTTCCATATTACAGAGGCTATGAAGGTCCCATGACCAGGATGGACAAGTAGAGACGGATGAGAGAGTGTGACGTAACGCAATACCAAACTATGATAAAATTAACTTAAATATATAAGCTTATTTTTTCCTTTCAGATCTTCACTCCTCTTCAACCTTGTATTTGTGTGGAAATAAAAATGAAGAGGAGTTTGGTCTTCTGGAAAAGAAAAATCAATAAATTACTATGGTCAGTCCCTTTGGGGGAGTACAAAAGGTTGAGTTCTTGAAAGGGAAAAGCGGATTTACCTCTTATTAATTTAGTGTATATAAAAAAAATAAAAATAAATGATTAAAGCAGCCACATGTTTTGTGTTTTAAGTGTTTTTTTCATGTGGCACCTTTCATATTTTTAAATCAATGATGTCTGTGGGCGTATATAGGTGAAAGCTCATAACATCAAAACTAAACAATCTGATTAAATAAACACTGTTTTTTATTCAGAATGGTCTGCAATGTTTTTTTCTGAGAAACCCCAAGGCTGTTTTGCACTTGAGTGGCACCCAATTGATTGACAGTAATTTTATGTTTACTTACAATTCTTATTCCTTACAAATATATGTGATTCTGTTAATGCTGCTAAAGGGGACACACTGTGTCCAGAACACTACTGACTGGTGTTCAGCATTAATTGGTAATCAAAGTATGCAATTAGACCGCTGGGCAATGACTATACACTTGTAGTATGAGAGAGGCAAGTCCGTTCTCACCGAGATGAGCCCACGTCAGGAAATGAGCCAAACTTTGATGCTAATGTGGACTCCTGCTGACAGTTAAAAGGATCACGAGATCGAACTGCAGCAATTGAATCATTCTGTTATTGGAAGCCATACGCAGTGAATACATTTAATCTATTCATCTGTCTGTCTCTCGCTTTAGCAGTGGCTGTCTCACCCTCCCTGCAGTTCTCTCTGTGGTACTGTCAATGAACTATGTCACTATGTAGACATGTAAGTCACTGTTGTGCATGTGTGGGCCGATCTTCATGCTGCATTGTTCAAAACTGTCCACCGTGACTCATGCATGGAACTCAAATGTGAGACAATTTAAATTACTTTAAATTAATAGTTTATTTTATTGTATGTGCCTGAACTCGCTGCTGAAAAGAAAGACAGTAAAACATGGACTAAAGGAGTAATGTGCTATATGTATATAATTATTCCACATTTAGTAAAGATGAAGCTGACTCAGGTCACTCGCAGTCATCATGATAAGAATAAATTCCTTCAGCAGCATGCAGGAGTCATGACACACTGTCAGTGAAGTTAAACAACGGGAGGTACTATTGTGACTAACATACTGTGGCAGCTTGTTGAATCTCTGCTATGTCATGCAAACAGTTTCAGACCTTGTCTACCCGACTCACAAACGTTTTTGTGAGTAACAATGGAGCAGCAATGGGTAAATAATCCAGTAACCAGAAAACAATTCAAACCAACACACTCACTCACACATTACCTGGATTTTACTATTACATATTTTTTAGAAAAAGCATTCTCTTTTATGCAATTATAATTTTCTCAGTCGTCCAAAAGCATGATGTTTAAATGAGTTCATTTGTGTTTCTGTCAATGTTAAAGTCCACAGACATGGTGTCCCGTGATATCCCCAAACACGCGGAGAGGTAGTGTCTCATGGTTTCAGTTGGACTTTGACCAAACAAACGGATGGAATAGCTAATGAGAAACACGCTCTGTATGTGTGTGTGTGTGTGTGTGTGTGTGTGTGTGCGTGTGTGTGTGTGTGTGTGTGTGTGTGTGTCTGCTTACTCAGGTTACACTCACCAAGAGGAGCCTTTCTTATCAGTTTATGGGGTTCAGAGGGAACTCAAAGTTGACATGGGGTAAAAGGGTGAGTCAAAAATAGATATTGTTTGACTAACAGATAAGAATCACATGTGGAGGTTACTATTTTCGGTCACACTAATGGAAAGTTTCGGAATTCACGGGGCTTAATTTTGAAAGTGTCCATAGTATCTTGGTTTTGAATGCTTCACTACGATAAGGAATTCAATTGGGATGTTATTATATCTGGAAGCAAAATATTTTGGTGAAAAAATGACTTTCATGGCTGACCATGTGCACCTGGATCGGCCCGACTGCATTAGCTGGTCAAGCTCCAGGTCAGGTGGACATTTGCTGCAGGTGTAAATGTCAAAGAGTTTGATATCAAATATTTTTCTTTCTTGGCTAATAAAAATATATTTTAAATTCTATAACAGCAGTTTTGTGCACCTTTTCTTACATCTCAGCTGACATTTTAATACTGTACTCTATAATAAGTATAATTATTACATAAATATCCAAACTCGCTGTTGGGGCAATTATGGCAGATAGTTTTTCCTTTTGGGTATTTTGATTTACTGTAAAGGAAAGCGTTTTTATTTTAGATATATGCTCATTAACAGGGAGTCAAAAGCATAATCGAAAAGAATCGTCCAAGACATTAATGTTCAAAGTAGTCAAAAGTAGTCAAAACAAGGAAGCCAAAAGGCAAATGAACATATATGCGTAATTATATTTTGTATGACAATTCGTATTTATTATTTGATTATTATCACTCACGCATGTTTAAGCACCAAACAGCATTTTCACGTAACAGCTGCAGGAACCACATAATTGTTAGGTAGTTTTGCATGTAACATACATGTTACGTACTTTATTATTACTGGTATTACTGGTGAAACGAGGATATATACAAGTAAAGAATAAAAATAAATATTTTTTTCCAAAGAATTTCATTTTGACCTGAATAACAAAGAAATATTTGACCGACAAAATAATATTCATTCACTTATTTTTATGGTATATTTTTCAATGTTCAAAACTCTTTTATCAAATGATCAAAAATGTGGTCCTCAATTTGGCTCCATAGAGGGTCCTCTCTGCAACGTGAGGTTGATTTCAACGCTGCCACCCAGCGGTGCCGCGTCTCACCACAGATGTTTTCTCGATGGAGGATAGCGGTAGATTGACATCGCTGGGCCCCATTCACGGTCGTTTTGTTGAAAACGAACCCGTCCTCGTTGCGACGGTCGTGCACTGCGTTTATCAATCGTGGGCAAATTAAGTGAAAACAAGCATTACTGGCCTCCTTCAAAGCACGTTCAGCAATGGAAACACGACGAGCGGTCGTTACGAGCGTAGGTGACCAGTCGTATTGCTCACTGGAAGACTGCTTAGACTGTAGGTGTGTGTGTGTTTATTTCAATAGTCCGGTGTGAAGTGGCCATTGTCGCCACATCACCACGGTCTTTGAAGGCAGCATCGTGTCACGTGACCAGTGCACAGCTGAGTGGTGCTGGGTTTAGGCTTGCCCCGTTGCTAGCCTGTTAGCCCGTGTAGCCCCTTTAGCCGTGTCTAGTAATCCTTACGGAAACAGCCATTTCCCTTCAGCCTTTTTGGCACAACCCCCCTCCCCCACCACCACCGCCCCCCAGGGAAGACATGCTAGGAGCCATGGAGAGGATACAACGCGTGCGGCTGCCCTTTGTATCCTCGCATATCATCCGTTTTTGGTTCGACGTCAATGTCATTATTTGCAGCTAGTGCTGCGCGTTTAGCTCCCGCTAGCTTGTTGTCGGGCGATCGCAGGGCCACGGCCAAGGCCGAGCGGAGAAGGGACAGGCCGTCCGGTGAGTACGTGCACGCTGACGTCTGTCTCTTCCCACCTCGTTCACCCGGATTTTTCAACGACGCCGCCGTGATGTGTGTCGGCTCGTCGGTTGACAGCTGCACAGCGGCTCCGTGGTTTATTGTCCGGTTGGCGTTCTCGTCCGTACAGTAACGAGACCGTATCCGTCATGTAACGCTACATAGCAGCCAGTAAAGGGACATGTTAGCTGTTAATATCATCGAATACAACACACAGTGTAAATAGTAGTGCCTACTTAGCACAACAGTTCGAGGTTTTTATATTATTACCGTGTAATGTTAATATGATAATAGTAATAAATCACCCGATTTGAAGGAAAACAAGTGCAGTAGCCGTGGCTTTAGTTTGGCTCATTCTGGCAGGACTATGTAGTGTGTGTATATATATATATATATATATATATATATATATATATATATATATATATATATGCATACACGTTAAACAGTTTTTACCTGAAACGAACACCTGTTTTTTTCTGCATAGCAACGCGCAGCATTCTCTATTTACTTGCCAATACAATGTGGTGTTGAGGCCATATCACCCGTATTGTCTGAAGCATAGTAATAACTTTTATTGAGTCAAACACTAAAACCTGAAATGCATTCTTTTTCATCCCCATCACTCCAATTGAAAAATATGTGTTTGTACCTTTCCCTTCACCAGAATGTATTTTTAATACTTTTAGAAACTACAAAATCTTGGGGCTCTACATTATTTGCCAACATGCCCTTTTTACTGATGTGAAGGTAGTGTGTCATGCAGTGAACAAGCCAGTACTTACTTCTCTCTCACATGGCATCAGTGAGACTTCTTCTTGTGATAGCCGTGCGAGGATGACATCATCACATGTGGTCATTTTAAAGTCCCCCCATGCTCTCTCTTGTTTGTAATCCTCCAGGCATTTGCTGTGTGGGTGGACGAAGGAGGAGTAGGAGGAGGTTTGGTTTTGGATCAGGATTTTGAAAGCGCCTCCACGGTCATCCTCTTCGCCATCATCTACAGCTGAGCCATGTCTTCGTCAGGCTGCTGCCACCTACCCGGCTCCCTCTGTGACTACTCCGGGAACGCAGAGTCTGATGCCTCCAAGGATTCGGAGGAGTCCGATTCTACTGCGCGGGCCCAGTTCATCGCCAAGGTGACGGCCAAAGATGGCCGCCCACTCTCCACCGTTGTCAAAGCGGTGAGCTTGCAGAGGTAAGAGCGAGGAACTCGTATGGAGCCCAAACGACTGAAATGTAATCACGAGATAAAACGTCAAATTTTTGTCCTCTCTACTTTCCTCCATAGTGATGTGGGCATGTGTCGGATTTGCCATGAGGGGGCTGGGGGGGAGACGCTGCTCTCACCCTGCGACTGCACTGGTACGCTGGGTAAAGTGCACAAGAGCTGCTTGGAGAAGTGGCTGTCCTCCTCCAACACCAGCTACTGTGAACTCTGTCACACCGAATTCACCGTCGAACGACGGCCACAACCACTCACAAAGGTTAGAGGGTTTTTACTGTAAAGATACATCTTTGTGTCGGTTTGAGTCATCTTCAGAGAGGATTGATAGATGATGGCCCAGGGTTGTCAGTTGCATCAATGCATTTATTTGAATTATGCACAAAATAACAGCCATTGCGAACTAAATTGCATCAATCAGCCAATTTAACACCAAAGTGATACTGCATCTATGTTTTTGTTGACCTGAATCCATTTTTTCTTCAACTTCTAACTCAGTGGCTGAAGGACCCAGGCCCTCGCAGTGAGAAGCGCACTCTGCTGTGCGACATGGCCTGTTTCCTCCTCATCACACCCCTGGCAGCCATCTCTGGCTGGCTGTGTCTGAGGGGAGCCCAGGACCACCTGCAACTGAAGAGCAGGCTGGAGGCCGTCGGCCTTATCGCCCTCACCATCGCCCTCTTCACCATCTACATACTCTGGACACTGGTAACTAATGCATTGCTTTGCTTATTCTCCTTTCACTCAGATAAACGTGTTGATCGAGTTGTGTCTTATGTTGTGGTGCCCGGCATCTTTGGCTCTAGTATTTATTTGTCTTGTTGTCCTGCATAGATTTGACAAGCTGTGAACTCGCACACTGTACAAAGAAAACCACACATTTCCAAAATATCGATGATCTGCTGCTAGAAATGATCCATACAGTTTTCTTGTCCAATTTAACCTCGAATAGCACTTGAAGTCAAAGCATAGAGGAAAAAAACAAACTTGATACTCTTTGGCACAGAGTACTTATTTTTCTAAGGTTGGCCACATAAGTCGTGCAGGCTCATACTGTATTTTCTTTACTCCTTAACTGCTTGCCATGTGAGCCTATACTTTAAAAGGATGTATTTTGAATCTAAAACTTGCTTCAGAAACCTAACCCTTTAGTCTTCAGCAAACAATCGTTGAAAATCGTGAAAGATTTTGTCTTTCACTAACAGTTTTCGTAGCAAATACAGCTTCAGTAAGCACATCACTTTGGTCCTGCAGATGTAGAATGTCTCGAATAACTTGCAGTCAGTTTCATTGACGTCTGTCTTTTCTTTCCCGTCTCACCTTCTGTCTCGCCCCCTCCCGTTCCTTCCATTCCCCCTCAGGTGTCATTTCGGTATCACTGTCAGTTGTACTCGGAGTGGAGGAGGACCAATCAGAAAGTGCGCCTCCTCATGCCTGACATGAAAGGGGCGCACACCACTCAGCGCTCCGTGCCGACCAAGTCGACCAAGAAAATGACTGATGAGACCATCGTATGAGTGCGCGTCAGTGGCAAAAGGAATATTTAAGATGACGCCCACTGAAGCACTACCTGAAAACCAGATTAATCGTGATCATATTTTTTGCACTTCATAAGGACCATTTTGGGAGGAAAGATGTACCTCGTCCTCCTGTTTTACTTTATTGAAGCACTTGATGTAAACTACTACGGTATTGGCCGACCACACAAATGTTTTTTTTGGGGGGGGGAAGAACTCGTTCCGGAGTCATAGTAGATGTTGAGACACAGAGGTTTGACCCTGGACACCCAGCGCTGGGATGTGAAGAGCTGAAGACGAGGATAATGGACTAACCCGCCCAACTCTGTGTCCGTGACACTTAACATCTGAAATGCTAGGACACGAGCTAATGTAGCAGGATATATCTGGTTCAGCATGCTACTCCAATATACTATGGAACTTATTCACTACCTATAATTCCCACATGCCTCCTCACAATGTATTTAGCTGTTTTTGAACAACGGGCAGCCTATAGCCTGGCAGACGAGACTAACCGGAAACATGATTGGAAAAAGTCTGTCCCAGAATACGCTTTCTTGACCAGCAGAGGGAGACACTGGCCCTCACCAGTGTTGTCATCTACGCCCTGAAGCCCCGTGAAGGCTCCTGCTGAAGCATCCCATCGCCGTGTGAACGTGGGATATCACATGATTTACCTGTGTAGACGACAGTTAATGTTACGCATTTATCGCACTCGTCACGGAGGGTCAGTCAGTGGCGTTTGTGTTGCGTGGGGAAACACCGACGGCAGCCGTTAAACGGCAGTGCTGTAAATGCTTAAGGACGTGGCGTTGAAGGTGTGGGAAAGGGTTCATGTTCTAATTGGAGAATGCTTCTACTATTGTCATCAAAGTGCATTAGTACGCAGCCCTGCTCCACCTGTAAATGCACCATTCAGAAATTGAGCTGCCCAGAAATGAACAACTAGTTATCATGTCCCACAGCGCAAGAAATGCCATCTTGAATAGAAAAGATAAAGTGTTAAGAATAGCGAGACTACAGTGGTTTGTCCTCTATAAATGGAGATATAACAGAGCAGGCTGGTAGACTGTAAAGTTTCAAAAGAAAAATGTTTTTTTGAGATGTCAATGTGTGCAGCATATGCTATAAAAGTATTTTGTGTTATTGTAGTCTTCCTGCTGCATCCCCCAGAAAGTTGGGTTATTGTGCAATAAAACAAGAGGGAGTCCTGGACTAAATCAATGGGAATTGTCTGTTGATTTTAGGTAGCCCCGCTTCTAATAATGTGATGTTATCTTTGGAAATGTATTAATAATTCAATCAATCATTTGCCAGGGAGAACTGTTGAACGGTTGAATGTTCCTGCGATCGATACAAAACGATATCAAATGCCCTCGACGTAACAAGGGGGTCCGGGCTCATTGTCACGGTAATGTTGGTCCTTTGGTGTATTGAAGGATGTAGAAAACACACGAGGTCACAAAAACTTAATATTGTAAAATTTATTTCATGGCATTAATATAATGTATGTGAGCGGACAAGCTATCAAAACAACAAAAACAATATTTTACAGAAAATGACATAAGCATCAGCAGCGTCACAACCACTTTTGAGATGACTGAGGGGGGAACAAAGAACAAAAGCAGGACTGCTGGTACGACAATCAGACAGGCTTAAAGACTCCAACATGTGCAACAACCCTTCCTTTAACAAGGGTTCAAGCAAAGCTAACCTGCTATGCTACACAATTGTGGGTCATCGTGGCAGCTACACACACACCGCACCATCAGTCCTGCTTTTGCACCGGGATGTAGCAGACTACCTGGGTCAGATTACAACTCGGAAATCAATTCAAACAGCTCTTTATGGAACTGATCATCCGTGGCAAAACGGAACCGACTCCACTCATTTAAAAAAAAAAAAAGGGCAGGTTCAGAGAAATATAGCAACCCCCGGGCAGATGGAAGCATACCAAGACTGCAGATTTCAGTTAATAGATCAACCCAGGTGAAGAGGGACGGTTGCCGCGGGTTACAGGTTCTGACAGCACTGCAGTTTGCTCCCCCTCTGGCCGTCGGTGGTGGGTGGCACGCTGATGTCTACCACGTTGTTCCCCGGGGACTCGTCATGGGCAGAGCGCTCAGCGATCTGTTTCTGCGAGACGATGCGATAGATTTCTGGGGTTTTTTTGGGGAAAGATGGAAACAGAAACAGATCAGCCATTTTCCCCACGTGAAACCTTCCGCTCTTCAGGGTGCGCATCGACAATGCTACTGACACCCAAACAGGCGAGATACAGTTCATCTTTGAAGGACGACAACAGTGCAGCGCTGACTCCCCAAAACCAGTTGGCAAGAATACCTGTGAGGATGTTCTTGAAGGCTTCTTCGACATTTGTTGAGTCCAATGCTGAAGTTTCTATGAATGACAGATTGTTCTTCTCTGAGGGGGTAAGAAAGAAAACATACATTTAAAAACAGACGCTCGTCGAAAATAAGTTGAGAGGAGATCCTATTATTATAATGTTTTATATATATATATGTTCATTTCTTCCCATTCTCTAAAAAACGTCATGTTGATGCTTAAACAGTCCAGCGCTTTTGTCCCTTTTTGGAAGTCACAGTACCTGCGAAGGCCCGGGCCTCGTCCGTGGGCACGGCCCTGAGGTGGCGCAGGTCGCTCTTGTTGCCAACCAGCATGATGACAATGTTGTTGTCGGCGTGGTCTCTCAGCTCCTTCAGCCAGCGCTCCACATTCTCATACGTCAGGTGTTTGGCTATGTCGTACACTAAGAGCGCCCCCACCGCTCCTCTGTAGTACCTGCAGCATCAAGACACGATGGCATCGGCCAATTCAACTAGACGGGAACCGACTGCAGGTCAAAGACTGTTCTAATGTTTAAATATAGTTAGATGAATATAGTTCTATTGGATCTATATGCAAAGTCAAAGTTTGGTCTGGGACACCTGAGGATTCTTTGAGTTCATTGTTGACATATACACGGGTTCCGTATCTTACTCCAGGAGATTAAACCCACGAGCCAAAGACGTGCTCGTCCCTGATCAGAGGTCCCAGTTGTCTTTGACTAAATGCTGTAGGACATATCCACAAATCGGCCCCTTGTTTGAGATGACTCACGCCGAGGTGATGGCTCTGTAGCGCTCCTGTCCAGCCGTGTCCCAGATCTGAGCCTTTATCGTCTTGCTGTCCACCTGAATGCTGCGCGTGGCAAACTCCACCCCGATGGTGCTCTTACTCTCCAGGTTGAACTCATTTCGGGTGAACCGAGAGAGCAGATTGCTCTTCCCTACGCCTGAATCCCCAATTAACACAACTGTGGTGGGAATAAGGAGAGGGGGGGTAAAAGATGAGACGAGACAAGTGTGTTAGTATTGTGCATGACTGATAAGAGCCCAACACTGGCGCAAACAACTCCGCCGCTTTGTGTTTGTCTGATTCACGGGATACAAAAACGCATTTCTACTGTAAAATAGTATAAATAATAAATGGAAAAACACAAGGTTTGAGTTACTACAGAACCTTATAATTGTGCCTTTTCAAGTCTTTAGAATTAAAACAAATCACTAAAATATCAATAACAACATTTGACTGAGTAGAATATTAACAGAATAAATGTGATGCATTTTTAGTGCACTTCATACGTGTGACGAGTTGAGCTATTCCAAAACAACTGAGTGGGCTGACATCTAGTCAGGTCTTCCTGTAAGGAAGCTTTGACAATGAGGAGCTCCAGAGCTGATTTAAGATGCTCCTACAAAAAGAACGGAAGGAACCACATAAGAGTGTAAAACATGGAGCTTTTACATATGTGTCTATATGTCATAGTCATATATGTCACCGTGGACAACCAGCTAAATTAACTAGTTGGGTATAGTCATAAGTTGACGATTATGATTATCATCAATCCCTGTTAAAAGGCGACCGACGGGACCTCTAAGACCTGGTCCGAGCCTGGTTTCTGATCACACTGCAGCAGCCGAGGTGGAGCCTCCCTCCCCCCCTCACTCCTTCAACAAAAGGAAATAGAGCCGAACTGTGTTCCCTGTCGACGTTGTGCCCGTCCGGGCTGCAGGAAGCTGATAACAGGCTCCATCAAAACCTGAATCGACAGTTTTGGACCGCCTTGCCCTTCCTGTCCGGGCTTGGTACACATGACGATGGCTCGGGAAGAGAGAGAGAGAGAGGGAGAGAGAGAGCATTCGCCTCCGGCAGATGCCCTATTCATCCCACAGAGGCTACTTTGTTACGTCTAAATGGTCCTTCGGCTTCTACGGGCCCAGGATGTTAATGTGCCACGGGGAGCTGATATCACGATCAAAGGAAGTCATTCTGGATCCGACTGAGGGCTCGAGACAAACATGGACCTGGAGTCTGGTACAACCAGATCAGACACTGATACGCCAAGTTCAGAAGTTGTCGGTGTGTTTTGCGTCAGGGGACAGAGGAACGACCCTCGTCTGAGGATGAAGCCGGTGGGTGAGGAGAGGTGGAGTTGAGGCCTTTAAATCAGCCTCATGAGGTGGAATCAAGCAGCGTGACATTCAGTAAAGCAGTAAACTGTTTACTTCAGAAGCCCGAGCTCGCTGTACCACTCGCTGAAAGTTGAATACAGAGGCTGAGCAGGGACAGGGTGTTGCATCCCATACCTATAAATATAGCTGCAGGCGTTCGTGTTAAAATGACAGCGTAATGTTTTAATAACACCAACCGAGTACCATCCGGGCACTTTTTAGCATTAGTTCATTTAGAAATTGTGGATATCTCGTCTGCAAAAATGACACAAGAATACATGTATGTGCTTTCTAAAGCCTAGCTTTGTCGGTGTGAGTAAAGGGGGGTTATGCAGTCATCTTTTTTTTTTTAGTTTTTTTTTTTACCTTTGAACAAGAAATCGTATTCATCGTCTCGGTTCCCCATTCTGGACGAGGCCTCTCCGACGCTTGTCTCCCGAAGAGGATGCGGAGGGAAATGACGGGTATGGCTTGTTGTTTTCTAGGGCAGGAAAAAAGAGAAGAATTCGGTTAGCGGTTTCGCGCTGAGACTGCGCGCCGGCGTTCGCTGTCAGGGCGAGCTGGCCGCAGAACGAGAGGCGGCTCGCGGCTCTGCAGCGGGAGGGGAGGAGCCCCTGCGCCTCGCGTGCCTTCCTCGGGGGGGCGCTGCCGCGCCGGCGGGCCAGCAGGCACCGTCCGGCTGGAGACGCACGCAGTGGTTTTAAAGGCAGAATGAGAAGAACGACGGAGGGGGGACATGCACCAAAAGGTTCTGTTGGACACAATAACTAGCAGCGAGAAAACACGTTGGAGTGGTACGTTATATGAATGGATATCTTGTGGTGGAGACGCTTTTCTAAATCAAAAAATCTGAAATAAGGCTCTCACAAAATCAAGGTCTGTCTTTTCCAACATGTAACTAATGAGGTCTTAAGTGTTAAGGGGCATTATCAATGTTTTGTATCATTCCTTATTGTTTATTTTGTTCGTTTTTTTGTTGCCTTTTATTATTTTAATCCATTTGTTTTTATTGTTTTATTTTTTATGTCTGCTCACAATTATTTTATAAGGACGGTAAGAATAAAAACATTTTTTAAGCTAATTGTTAAAAGCAAATAAAGTGACTGCATGTGTGTTGTTAAACTTTGAGTTTGAGTGGAAGCTGAGCGAGCCAGATTGAATATGCTGCAGGATATATCCATGTATTGTGGATATATGCAATATATGTCCTTACCATCAATATGGAAAAAGAAATTACACCAAATTGACTCACTTCAGTTTTCAAATTGAAGATATCTAAATGTGAGTTCTAGTAAAACTTCTGGAACAATCCTGGAAATCCTACATTGTGCTTTTGGGACAATAATGCCTTGTAACAGTGAGTAACTTGTAACAACTGTAATGCACAGTCATGCACAGTAATGCACAGTACCAGTCCAAAGTTTGACATATATTAGTGCATTTTCTGATTCGCATCTTAAATTAAAATCAGTCATTTGTGACGGAATTAAATGCTCTGATTTCCTGGCGGGAGACAGGACATTGGGTCATTATAAAAGCACAACGCTTCTTTTTTTTTTAGGACGAACTGTCCCTTTAAAGTTTTTGCTGACAGCTGGCTCCGCCCATGCTCATCAACTCGGCTCCCATTGGCTGAGAGAGAGGTCAGCTGCTGCAGTGGTATGCACGTGCAGCTCCGTGCATTTCAAGATCAAGATGGCAGCCTCCGTGTGTCGTTGCTACGAGGTTAGACCATTCATGTCCTTCATTACAGTTATTTCGTCTCTTGCGGATAATTTAGCTAAGGGAGTAAACACGTTCGTCTTGTAGTTGGTCTGTTCTCGTCTACTTATGGACAGAAAATGTATAGTTTGTGTATTTAGGTACAACATTGCAGGATTTCCATTAGGCCTTGTTGCATCAGACGGACTGCAGGGTTCTGAATGTCCTTAGTCACCTATCAACGTTTTTAATGAGCTTAATTAGTTTTGTTCGTGGAAAGGTATTCGTGTGTGTTTGTGTGTGGGAGTCTTAAAACCGGTAATGTGAGGTAAAGAAGTCGGCCGTTTTACACGCATACATGTGACCATTAATCATAGTGGTACAACTCTGTTATTTAAGTAGCAACGTTCCGGTTGTTGCACCGTTTACCTATTTAATATCCTTGCTTGCTACCGAGGTAGAAGGACTGCTTAATGTCCCATTGAAGACATGTAAGTCGTTCTCTCCACTGCAGCTGGTTGGCAGACGTGCCTTGGCCCTCTGCTTCCGTCCTACTGCCTCTTCAGTGTGGAGAGGAGATGCCCACACGTTAATGAGGAGTCCAGCTGCAACGGTGCAGGTAACCACCCAAGGCTCCCGTTTACTTTAATAAGATGAATACTTATTGATCATTTAATTACAAAAATGAAATTATCAGTGGTTTGTGTAGAATTAGCTGGTTCATTTTCTTTCTTAATCTCACAAAGCACCATCCTCTGCTTACTCCGATCGATGCCTCTGCCTGTCTGAGTTAAGTCCAAATTTGTATTTGTCTCATAAGGTGCGATATGCTTCGGGACGTAAAGGTTTCTTGGGAGAGTTTGTGGATAATCTGCGGCAGGAACTCAGCAAGAATCAGGAAATGAAAGAGAACATCAAGAAGTTCAGAGAAGAGGCCAAGAAGCTTGAGGAGTCTGACGCTCTCCAACAAGCCCGCAAGAAATATGTAAGAATACTATATATTTTGGTTTGTTATCTATTTGAATAACGATATCTGCGTCAACAAGGATTTGCTTCACATTATTTTTAATCTGTAACAAGGCCACATCATTTTTTTTTTCATTTATCAGAAATCTATAGAGTCGGAATCCGTAAAGACTTCAGAGGTGTTTAAGAAGACCTTCGGCTCTCTGTCGGAGACCGTCAAGGAGGTAAGGTATTGCCACTTCTTCACCATGGACGTCCAAGAGGAAATGGCCTCAAATGAGAAAATTAAGTAATGTCTTCTTAGTTCCTGTGGAAGTGACAGTTTATCTAACCATACTAACTAATTGCATCTGTCTCTTTGTTTGTGTACATGCGGCTAATGCCATCGGTGCCATAGGGCCTGGAGGAGGTGAGTCGTACTGAGATCGGGAAGAAGATCAAGGAAAGTGTGGAGGAGGCTGCCAAGACGGCCATGCACTCTGCTGAGTCCGTCTCCAAAGGAGGAGAAAAACTGGGTAGAACTGGTGCATTCAGGGCCATCTCACAGGTCAGTAGAGAATAAATAATATCCGTAAGTTAACCAGGTTTCACCCTCAAAATTACACCATCTCTGGAGGTGAATGCTGTATCTTTGCATTTTTGTCTGTGATCTCTGCAGGGTGTGGAGACCATGAAGAAGGAGATAGACGTTGGGGATGCCGGCGCTTACAGAGCTCCCCCGCAGCTCAGGAAGAGAAGCGATTTCTCCTCCAAAGGAGCCGAATGCGACTCCAGAGTGTTCGAGGCCAATGAGTAAGTTTCCCCTCACACTCCTCTTGTTTAAAAGAATATATCTGTACTTCAAGTGATTATCTTGTATTTTTCATGCAGAGAGGCTATGGGTGTTGTTCTCCACAAGGATTCAAAGTGGTACCAGCAGTGGAAGGACTTCAAGGACAATAATGTCGTTTTTAACAGTAAGAAAGAACTGATGGGCTCATATATATATATATATATATATATATATATATATATATATATATATATGAGAGAGATCGATCAAAATCATATACAGTTTGCACTTATGCGCTTCCCTTTAAGGGCAGCAGGTGGCACCAAGTTCTCTACAGTCAATTTCATTATGAACTAATACAATTACGGCATTAGTGGTTGAATGAGACCGTAGGGCCATTACAAGCACCTGTTTTCATTTTTCTCACCCCAATATCCCCTTTTTGTCTCCGGCAGGATTCTTTGAGATGAAAATGAAATATGATGAAAGTGACAACGCTCTTGTCAGAGCATCCAGAGCTCTGACTGACAGCGTCACTGGCTTCCTAGGTAAGGCTCTCCCAATCATTTTTTTTGCAGTTACTTCTCAAAATAGAATAAATTATGAAATCTCATAGCCATATAAACCATATTTGTCTGTTTGTTTTCCAGGTGGTCTTTTTTCCAAAACTGAAATGTCTGAGGTTCTGACGGAGATTGTGAAGGCTGACCCCACCTTTGACAAAGACTCTTTCCTCAAACAGTGTGAGAAAGACATCATCCCGAACATACTGGAGGTAAATAGACGCTTTGAATGTCTGTTTATTCTTGAATACACTCCGCTATTTGCTCCGTACTTGAGGGTATTTCACCAAAGAGCTCAAGAAAAAAGTTACTGAGGAAAAAGACTACTGATGAAAGTTACTTAGTGAAAATAAGAGTCAAATCTGGCTGAGCAAGAGACTCAATTAGAATTATTGATGTTGGAAAACGCTGAAATTAATGCCTTGTTTCTGATGACAGTTAAAATCATATGCATCATAATGATAATACATTTTATTTATAACTCAATTTGCAGACATGTGACATTAAGACAACAATGACAATGGAAATAGGCAGGATTTGGCAACATCATTTCAGTTCACTTGGCGTAGCTTTGTGAAATACCCTTCCGATGTAGGAAACATTAACGCTGACGCTGTTTGTCCTGCAGGCGATGATTCGGGGGGAGCTTGAAGTGTTGAAAGACTGGTGCTATGAAGCTGTAAGTCATACTCTGCTGCCTCTGCATGTAGTGTTCAGTAAACTCTACATAAATACAGCATAGACCGCAAAATATTTTGGGAATTTCTGAAGTCTGAAAACTGGCAAACTGGCAGCTTCTCTTCTTGTTTAATATTTATAGAAGGCACTTTTCCTCGTATCTTGTCAATAATATTATAATGATATTCCTTTAGTGAATTTGCAAATGGATACACTGACTTTTTTTTCTCACAAATAGACCTCTTCACAAACAGGGAACTACTATGTTGGTCCATCCAGTTTAGTAGCCTCGAAAGTATGTGCAAAGCCAAATGTGTGTTTATTTACCTGCCCGTAGACGTACAGTCAGCTGGCTCATCCCATCCAGCAGGCCAGAGCGCTGGGGCTGCTCTTCCAGTCCAAAGTCCTGGACATTGATAACATAGATGTAAGTGCTTTTACACCAGCCGTCATACACGTTGCGTCATTCCGTCCATTACTGTGAACTTCAATGTTTAAAGTAATATCTTTTGTTCTTGTGTTCCATTCTTCTCTCTTTAGCCTCCACATTCAGTTCACTTGCATGCAAACAATCAGACATCCGTTTACATTTTAATTGAATCTGTGTGTTTGTCGGCTCTCCTTGTGTTGTAGCTGGCGATGGGTAAGATGATGGACCAGGGCCCAGTCCTGATTATCACCTTCCAGGCTCAGGTCGTCATGGTGATCCGCGGCCCCAAAGGAGACATTGTGGAAGGAGATCCGGTCAGTCAACTCATGATTACTTGTGCCAGAATAGGGAATCTGATACAATCAAGTCATTTCAAGGAAGTAAATTACTCAAATAGCTGAGAATTATATTAGTGCTCCTCGACCCGTGTCTGTTTTGCATTATTTGTGTTGGCTTGTGTTACTAACATAGTAATTTAACCACCGATGGTGATACATCGCTTATGTGAATATACACACATTAGGTCTAGTCAAACAACATGCATCTTAAAATACTTCAAAGGAGTTGTGCTTGATCCCCCTTCTAGTCCAGAAATGTCTTTTGTCTGGAAGAGACCACAACTTACTACAGTGCTGACCCTGTGTTCACATCCTCCCCCGACAGGAGAAGGTGATGAGGATGATGTACGTTTGGGCGCTGTGCCGTGACCAGGAGGAGCTCAACCCCAACGCAGCCTGGAGACTCCTGGACATCTCCGCCTCCAGCACGGAGCAGGCTCTGTAGGAGGAGACGGGGGGGAGGGACACCCACAAACTGAAGGAGGGGAGAGACGCAAGGATGTGACTGGAACACCTGCGCTCGGCCTCACATGCACGCACGCACGCACGCACGCGCACACACATTTACATCTGAGCGCAGGGCGCTCCCATGTCCCTGTGTCATGCCAGAGACTGTCGGCGCATCCTCATATTCCCGATCGACCAGAGGATTTATGTGCACACGGCGTTCTCCCCTCTGTGGCACGAAGACATAAATAGACTGCCGGTGCTTCATCCATCCGTAGGCAACTGTGCGTCCACCGATATACGCGTGTGTCGTGTCTGCACTGGTCCGCTCTGTGTTTTGGGTTGCATTGCTTCTTGGGAGGGCTGGAACCAACCTTTTCAACAACCTCTTAAATAGGAGTGAACCTGTGCCATTTCCATGATTGTGTTGTCTAGAGGTACAGTCCATCCGCACCGGGCCGGTGGCTCGATCCAAGAAGATGAAGATGATGATGATGGGTGGAAATGGTTTAACCAAAGACGCCAGCGAGTTGCGTGATGGAAATTACTTTTTAATAATTGGCTCATATTACAGATTAAAGACATCCAAGCCTGCGCTGCTGGGATTTCAACCATTCTTTTTTCATTTAAAAAAAAAAAAATGTCTCCTGTAAGTCTCCAAACTTATATTAAACTGCAATACTAAAGGCATGAGGTGCAAATTGTACATGTGTCTGCCTGTGCATAGTTTGCCTATGCAACATCAACTGTTGAGTGTTTACGCTCCCTTAAAAAGAACACCGTCATATCAGATGGCGATATAACCAGTGACAGTCGTTAATGTTTTTAGACAGTAAATGGTTTTGTATTTTTAGACCAAATTACAAGTGATCGTGAAGATGAAGGCTTTCGCAGAACTCTGCCTGTATCTGCCAAATTCCACTTTGGTGGGTTTTTTTTTTCTTGGTTCCTAATGGCCTTCACAGCAGAAACGTATCAACACTTATAAAAGTACATAAAGATGAGGCTTGAATCAAGTAACGCAGGATGTAATAACCCGTGTAGCTCAGAGCGCCCGATGCACCTGAGACGCCACAAGATGACATGCTTGTGTTTGCGCCAGAGGCGTCATATGTAGCCGTGCATTTGGCTCCCATTCAGTGTACATGCACTCAATAAGAACTGTATTGTTTTTAAACATATGTTTATAAGATTGGGAGGGACCGCGTTCAAATATGTCATAATGACACGTTATGATTTGATGATCATTTGCCATCTTGTGTTGTATATTTCACAGCTGTTTTTTTTTACTAAAAGTTTGGGTTTACTGTTGCTGAAGATGGAAACTTGAATGAATCTGCATATTAATGCACCCGTTGTGTTAACTGGCATCTGTACTGTGTGACCTTGTGGACCTCTACTCTCATGTGTCTGAAGATGGAACACGTTATGATTGTACTGTAGCTCTTTTCACCCAACTATTCTATTAAGTCCATAATGGTGACGAGAAATATAGCTCCCGGTATATATACTAAATATACATATATATATTTTGTGCCACAATAATTTGGGAATGTTTTACAGTTTTCATTCATGCCCAAAGCATGCGATGTGAGATCATTAAGGGGAGAAAGAGGTAAATAAATTGAATTAACGCATATTACAATGAAACTTCATACTCAGTTAATTATTTCCATTAAGTTCATATTTACTCGTCAGTCATTTAGCCTATAAAATATAAACAAGTCTATGATTGATTTATGAGCAAACTGCTCTATGAGCAAATATCCAAATATGTTTTGGATTTAACTAGGAAGGTTTGTTGTATCTAAGCTACTGAATTGGAGTCTGCATAAATGTTACAAGGCACCACCAAGTGAATAGGGTAAAATATTTAAGCTAATAAGTATCAATACATAAACTACCTCAGTTAATAACATAGACTAAGACAATCATTTTGTTTTTTATTAGTATTAAAGGTTTTCTACAATTTTGTGTTGCTAATGCAAATAAGGCATTATCTAATGCTGCGGACAAAAAAGAACATCTACATTTGTCATTCGGATGTCTTCTTTCCTCGAATCTGAGAGAAAACATGTTATAGAAGCAAAATAGAAGAGGGACTTTCTAGTAAGTAATTACAGATAAATTGCCTTGAAAAATTGTCTAGATTTGGACATTAATTAACTGACATGTTTGTTGGGTTTGATCATCAGCAAATCTTTAAATTTAGTGAATTTCTTGCCACCCAAAATACACACTTACTCAACACTGTCCCCTTGATGGGCTTTAGATGTCATATCTGTACACAAAATACTGTTCTTTTTTGGACTGGTTTTGGAAAAGTGACCAAAATGATACAGCTTGCTCCAACACAACAGCCCGGAGGTGAAGCAGTACTCAAGCAGTACTTTCATGAACACCACAAGTTGTGCCCTAGTTTACACAATAAAAGCTCTCAGTGCAGTGAGAGCATCGACATCAGACCTTTAAATGAGCAGCTATCAAACTGTTTCAATATCATTAAACCAGTACACCAACGGATGCTGAAGATTTTGGTTAATCGGACCTGCCAGACATCTTGCAGCGGGACCCTGAGTCTGCTCTCTGAACCCCAGCTTGACCTCTCAGGCCACCATCTGTACCGACGAGGTGCAAAGTGATGGAAATGATGAATTTCGTAACTTTGCGGGCTGGAGATCTTTATCAATTAAGTCCCCAGTAGGCGGCCTGTTGGAGCGCTGCTCGCCGTGATTTGATTATTCATCCCCTTCAGGACAATGTGACAATCCGCTGGCGGCTAATTAAACCCACGGGGAGGTCCCATGCGACCTCAGGCGGGGGAGGGGGTGAGGTTGTGTACGTACTGCATCCTGTCCCAGTGCTTGGACCATTTAAATTGTGTTAATTAATTTCTTCTCGCAGTGGAGCTGAGACACAGGTGCAGTTGTGTTACTCCTTTTGTTCTTACATCACGATCATCGTCATTTCTTGCAGTTCAGCAAAACTTTCAATGCAGTCTGACATTAGACTTAATAAAATTGTCTTATACAACTGGATGCAATGCAGAAGTCTTTCACCAGGCAGATGCAATCCGCAGGCCTTACTCTGTAAGGTGCACTTTATTAATTCATCATCTCTGTCTCAACCTACTATTTTCCAGTCGATCGTCAATAAGTCAACATCTTGTGATTTATTTTAGTTCTAGTTTTAAATTAGTTAACATTAATTAATGTTTTTAAGCCAAACAAACTATTGCCACTTTTTAAATATTGATATATTGTGTGTGTGATGTGATTAATGCCATACAAAGTCTATACATTTTATTCATTTTGGGGGCTTTGCGAAAAATTCAAATTTCATTTAAATAGAACAGTTACTTCTACTACTTACTATTATAAACTAACCTAATAACTCCATTGTGTAATTCATGTGACGTCATCTTTATTTAAATAGCCCAAAATTACACATTGTTTCCACCTTTGCAATTGTACGACATTCTTCAATGAAACAGAAAGAGTTCGTCTTAAACATCAATTTTTTTCTGTGCACTCTTCACTTGTCAAACTAATACAAACAAGGCCCTGGTTTGATGTTCATACAGGATAAGGGTCTGTTTTCGAGTAAATATCCAGACAACTGTTAGACTATAAGCCAATAAGGCTGCACGTCTACGGGCCCCTGGGGGTCCGTGCCCCCCACACTCCTCTTACATAATGCAAAAAGCCACACATGGCTCCCGGCGCCTCACTCGCCCCAGCCAACAGATGTACGTGTGCCGTCCACACACAGGCGGCGGGATATCAGTGGAAGCCTGCGAGGTGGGGCGGATCCCTCAAACTGCACAGACTTAAAAGCTGAGGAGGTGCTGCAGGACGAGGCGGAGATCAGACCTGAAGCTCGGGGAGGAGGCAGAGCCGCGAGCTTCTCTGCAGTGCCGAACAGCTGCTGCTGCTGCAGGATCATCACCGCTCCTCGACGCCGGTCCTCACCTGGGACAACAGCCGGAAAAGTAAGTTCTCGAGTCTCGTCGTCATCCAGTTTGTCATCGTGTGAACTTTGTGTGTGGGAAGCGTGGCACTTGGAACTTTATGTCCATTCCATCGGAGTAATACGTCATATGTTGTTTGCTTGCATTTCTGTGAAATATTCATTCAAATGAAGAAAAATATTCACCTCAATCCTTTGTTTAGACTGCGGTGAAACGTAAAAATCGTGCCGTTGTGCTGAATTTCATAGAGTGATGAGGCAACATAAATTGGACAAAAGTTAAAAATGCCTTTCTTTGATTCTTCTTTCTTTCATGTGATCTAGAAAAGCTTATCGCTTTTTCAACGCCAAGAATAGACATCAAACTACTGAAAGCCTTTGTGGTGATATAATCAGAGATCACTGCCAGCAGGATTAGGAAAAGATGGAAGCAAGCGCATCGTGTCCCACAAAGTTATTTATCAAACATTTATACATTTCATACAATCAGAAGATTCGCTCGGAAAGCTCATTGCTTCAACTACAGATATTTGATTTTGTTCTGCCGGACGGTCCCACACTCAGCGTTCAGTTAGATGACATCATTTCACCCTTCAGTCCTTGACATTCGCAAAGCTGCTGTCATAATCCACAGGTATAAAATGGGAGGTATTACAGGCACTGCAGCCACCAGGGAGACCATATGGTACCACGTGTGCTCTGTCCTCACAGTTCACTGCTTGATACTTTTGGAAAGCTACGCTTTTCTCCATTTCACTGAGCGCCGTCATTCTGTGACGTTTGGCCACACGATGCTTTTCAACTTGGACTCCAGGTCAAGTTTTTTTTTTCTGTAATTTAGATGTTGGTGGATTAATCTTCTGCTTAGGAAACCAAAGCAGGTCTCTCAATGAGGCTCATTCTTTTACATTCTTTAAAGCTGTATTTGTTATCTCCTCAAAGCGGGCAGTTTTTAATCCTCTGTGTTGTTTGTGTCAGGATGACCTTGCACGACCTGCTTGTGACAGGCCGCCTTTAACGGGGCCACATATCTGCAGTTTTATGGGGAATAAGAACAAGTTTGTGATATGAAAAGGTGTTTTGTTTGACATCCTGACTTGTGAAGCGGACGGATAACGTGAATATGGTTAATTCATGTACTTTCCTCGTTCCTACTTTATATTCTGTAGCAGTGAGTAAACTGTCAAGTAAAGTTGCTGCGAGTAGCAAAAAAATCTGGATGTGTTGCATAACCGTAGATTCTGACTGCGCACTTTCTCAGAAGGAGGAAAAAAACCTCAATGACTTAAAAATCCACTCTTGTGCCATTTTCTTTCATGTTCTTTGGCCGCTGCAAAATCAAACTCTAAAATTGTCTTTGCAGAAAAAACTCAAGGCAATGCAGACTTTCATCTCAATAAGTGATTAGAAGTAATCAATCATCAAACATCACGTTGGCCAACTTCAATTTAGCAGTTTTTATTAGCAGCCGTGTGTGTGTGAGTGTTTTCCACCGACTCGCACTGACTAATGTGAAGTCCCGTTGTGTAAACTTTACTCTACTTCGCCGCTCGCTCTCTCTTGGTCATTTGCCGTCCGTCTATACAGCAACCTGACCGGTCCGGCTTGATGTGACCACGGGCCATTTCGATAATTGATGCTGAGGCAGGCAGTTTCTTTCAGTATGTCCTTAAGTCGCCTATTAAAGGCGGCTCTTGGCCCTTAAGCCCCAGCGTCCAGAGAGCGGGGGAGCTATCAACGTGTCTTTGTGGGGATCAGCAGGGTGGTGAGGAGGGAGACGAGGCCTCCTGGAATAGAACATGCTGACGGGAGTGCACCCACAGCAGGAAACGTCTCTCTACTCCAAAGCACGTTTAAGAGCCCACAGAGTGTTCCTGAGCAGGAGTGATGTGAACTACCGGAGGGTTTCTTTCATCTCTTTCTGGTTTGTTTATCCTGTACTATGTTGCATCTGAGTTCAATACACAGGTAGTGTTTCTCGCCGGTCTCTGTTATTTTAAGGATCCACAATCCTCAGCATGTTCCAAGGCCCCCGACGAGTTCTGAGTCAATCAGATGTTTCCCTCCATTCAGCAAACTCTGCATGCTGGAAACGTGTCTCATCTTTGTCTTTTCCCCTCAGGTATCTCGAGGAGTGAATTCCCCAAACGAACGAATGAAGGTATTGAAAGTCTTTCAGAGAATCAACAACTAGGGATTCAATCCGAGAACGTCTGCTGAAGCACCGAAATGGGGATTATTTGCAGCCGGCGAGCTGTTATATTGATCTCTGGAACATCTACAGCCACTTGACTGAGATTTATACTTCACTTTGTAAATCCCCATTAAGGGCCCTCCGGGGGCTGCTGTTGGATGAAACCATATTGACAAATGAAGTGAAGACTGATCTGAAGCTATTGTACTATTAGCTTCTCGTGAAATCAAGCGAGTGTGTGTGGGAGAAAGCGAGAGGGGCCCATAAGTCTAATTAAGCCCCACTGAGCGTGCTGCTCTGCTGACTGGAGAACTTGTTCATTTGTTTCATTTCTTCATCATTTTCCCTCTGAAACCTTTTCTTGGCCCTGTGGCTTGTGGGAAACTATATCCCAATGTGATCCCCCTTTAAAAAAAACAACAATCCACACTCTCTAACCGAAATGACCCAGCAGGGTTTCGCCGTTCCTCACATCTTCTGACAAACA